AAAAATATATATATATATATATATATATGATACCTGAAACATCCCTATTTACATATCTCGCAAATCTAATTTACAAATAAGGCACCCAAATTACGGCCTGTCTACTTCACCGTTTAACTTCCCTTCTCCATTTCAATGCGCAAAAAATTTCTTCCCCAATAGGTAAGAACAGCTCCATCATATTATATTATTGTGGTGAGCTAATCTCTCCCAAATTGAAAACGGTAGAGGACTACTCCTATGTGGAAAGTGATGAGACAACGAACGAAGGCAGGCAAACAAGAAGACGAGTAGATTTCAATCTAACAAGGATGAAATATTTTCCGTGAGTTTGGAGCCTTGCTGGCAACGCATTGGAGGAAAATAAAAGTTAAAAAACTCTAACGAAGCCGTGATTCTGGCCATCTGCAGGAAAAAAAAGAAGAATTTTTTTCTTATTCTCTGCTAATAGCTTGTCAAGAAAAATGCATCAAAGTAGTGCTCTAAAGGCATGAGACGGGCAGCTGCTAGGCAGCTGCTACTGCTGCATTCTTTAAGGATGTAACGGAGTCCATGTGACTTAATTTTGCCGATTGAAGAAGGAATTTTTTGGGACTTGAAATGGAGAAGTATAACGGCTAAGTAAACGGGCCGTAATTTGAGAGCTTTATTTGTAAATTAGAAGTTTGGAGTGTGAGATATGTAAATAGGGATGTTTTGAGTGCCATGTATGTAAAATCTCCAAATAATTAACATACATTAACATTTAGATACAGTACTTGATTCATCACATCTTACTTTACCATAATTATTTTCGTTCATTACAAACAAAAATAAAGCACAAATTTAGATATTTTATTTTATTTTTTAACTTGGTAACAGAAACTTGGTTGCCAACAACTTCGTCCTAGACAATTCTAATATCAGGTAAACACACTCATTTACCGTCTTATGTAAATTCGATTTCCTTTTAATTCTTACACTGATGAACTTGAAACTTAACTACTACATTTTCAGTGTATTGCCTTTCGGATCAGAGTGTCTTCAAAGGGACATACCATGCAACCGTGGTTCACCAGTCTGTAAGTCATTCTCCACAGCTTAATGCATTTTCTTCAACTCATGAAAAACAAATAGAAATTATCAGTATATTCTGTAAATAAGAAAATTTCAAATATTTTAAAATGCAGATTCTCAGTTTGGGATAAAATGTGGTGGAAGTGCAAGTGTGACAAGTTCTGATGGAACTAACTATGACAGGGATAATGCTAATCTCAGTGCAGCATCTTATTATGCCACTGATCCATACAAATGGGCAGTAAGCAACACTGGAAGCTTTGTAGATGCTTCAAATCCTGATGCAAATTATATAATTAGTTCTCAGTCCCAATTCCAGAACACACTGGATACAGAACTGTTTCAGACTGCAAGGATGTCACCTTCCTCATTAAGATACTATGGCTTAGGACTTGAAAATGGAAATTACACAATACAGCTACAGTTTGCCGAGATGGGAATTATAAATCCACCCACGTGGAAGAGTTTAGGAAGAAGAGTTTTTGATATTTATATACAGGTAAGCAAAGCATACATTGACAAGGTATGTATAAAGTTCTTATTTGTTAATTACAAAAAAACTGATAGCATCCAACTTTGGTTAACAAGGACAAAAAACATTGTGGGTGGATTTTCATTGGGCAGTATTAGCTTTATTTTTGTTGGTTCATGCCAAAAAAAAAAGGTAATAATAATTAATATTAATCAAACTTAGCATATTAAATTTGAAATTCAAATTAATTTGATCAACCTTACTCATTTTAACTCAAGGCAAGCCTTTACAACGCAACTGATAGTTTATTTCTTTTATTATTTTTATCATCCTTCACAACTTATGGGTGTATTCTAATTTTAAAGGAAATAGTAGTTTGTGGATGGGTTTTTGTTGTGTGCTGTTAGATTTATAATTTCGTTAGGTCAACTAAATCAAAAAGAAAAAAATATTTAAATCAACCTTAGTAATTTTTGAATGGTAGTAAGATATCTTTATATATGAAAACCTGCGCTCATGAAACCAACAGATGAAAGCATTTTGTCATAGCAATTAATTGAGTCATTTTTACTATAAATATATATTTTTTAATTTTTTAAGTTGTTAACAGGATCTAATACATAATTTCAGGGAAAGCTTAAAGAGAAGGACTTTGATATAAGAAAGGAAGCTGATGAGAAATCATTTACAGCAGTATTGAAGAAATACCAAGCTCCTGTAACAAACAACTTCCTAGAAATACATTTCTTTTGGGCTGGAAAGGGTACATGTTGTATTCCTACCCAAGGCTATTATGGCCCATCCATTTCTGCAATCAGTGTATCTCCTTATGGTACGCAACTTCATTTGATTTTATGAAATTTTAGTTTCAAATTTTTCATAAATTCATCTAGATGACCATTATCTTATGATTATCCAATTTTACAGACTTTATCCCTTCTGTCAGTAACAAAGCCCCAAATTCCTCTTCATCAAGTAACAAAACAGGTCTAATTGTGGGTATTGTAGTTGGCGTTGTAGTGTTGCTGGGACTTGTCATTTTTGCAATATTATTTTGGAAACATAAGCAAAAAAGTTTCAGCAAAGATGATGAAGGTAAACTTCTTTACGGAATATGATTTTTTTTTAATTATTTGTGAACATATGAATGTTTATACTTTTTCTGAATTTGAGACTAAGTTAATAAATCAAATGATACAGAGTTGTTAGGAATGACCATCAAACCAAATACATTCAGCTATGCGGAATTGAGGGCGGCAACCGAGGATTTCAACCAGTCTAATTTGTTAGGCGAGGGAGGATTTGGGCCTGTGTACAAGGTTTGTTTTGCCTAAATTTGACAACATTAAGTTTTTATTTTACAATATAGTTCCACTTAAAACAATCTATTTCATCTGCTCCCGCGAAATAAAGCCTCAAAACTAAAATGAAAGTAAAGTGGATTTATTTCTCACTTAAAACCAAGCACATTGTTAATGCTAATTAACCATCCCTGTACACAATAATATGATACAAACTAATTATAGGCCTTGTAGAAGTTGAGAGTAACATCTATTTAATTGTTTCATCTTAGGGTAAACTATATGATGGAAGAATGATAGCAGTAAAGCAACTATCAGTAGCATCTCACCAAGGAAAGAGCCAATTCATGGCAGAAATAGCAACAATATCAGCAGTTCAACATCGTAATTTAGTTAAATTGTATGGTTGCTGCATTGAGGGAGACAAGAGACTCTTGGTTTATGAGTATTTGGAAAATAAGAGCTTAGATAAAGCTGTTTTCGGTATGTTCTAAAAGAAAACCAGAAGCTCAGATTACATGCTTCAAGTATTCCTGCATCTCATTTCTCTCATTTTGCAGGGACAAGTGGTTTGCATCTTGATTGGAAAACACGCTTTGAGATTTGTGTAGGTACAGCAAGAGGTTTAGCTTATCTTCATGAGGAATCAAGTGTGAGAATCGTCCACAGGGATGTTAAAGCCAGTAACATTCTATTAGATGGCGATCTTAACCCAAAGATATCAGATTTTGGTTTGGCTAAGCTTTACGATGACAAGAAGACTCACATCAGCACAAGAGTTGCCGGCACAATGTGCGTGGGGATTTCAATGCTTATGTTTCACATGTATTTTTCTTTTTTTTTTTCTCGTGTCATTTATATTTCAATAATAATAATGTGATATTTTCAGAGGTTATCTTGCACCAGAATATGCTATGAGAGGGCATCTAACAGAGAAGGCTGATGTGTTTGGTTTTGGAGTTGTTGCTCTTGAAATTGTCAGTGGTAGGCCGAATTCAGACCCTGCTCTTGATGAAGAGAAAGTCTACTTGCTTGATTGGGTACGCAAAGATTTCTGCACTTCAGTTCTTAGCGTTAAATAACATAACTACCAAACTATCATTCAAATGCCTATCCTTTTTTATGAAGAGAACTCAACGAAAGAGGAATAACACACATATGTGCACACAGATTCAATTACTCTCAAAGAATATAAAAAAACTGAAGATGAGAATAAGATTCACAAATTACTAAATAAAGATAACCACATTCAAATGAGGCATTACAGATTATAAAAACAAACGCAAACATCAGAAAATAAAACAAATTATACTGTGAAATCTAAATTATTGAAGAACTATCAAAATAGAAGCTAATTAATATGCAAAATAATAAAAGTAAAGTATTAAAGGCTGAAACAATCAAATTTAGCCAAAATTATGTAGAGCTCTAGGGCATTGCCCATGAGGTTTGATCAGAATGTCACTTTTCAGCTTGAAAAGTAAGGTTAGACACTGATATAACTTTTTGGTCAAATTAAAGGTTTTGGGTATTTAAGCGGAAAGGAACATGAACTCCCACTCCTTCTACATTGCATCACCGTTTATATGCAGCTTCTAATAACAAAAACTTACTGAAAAGCTTTAATATGTACCTATATTTTACACATTATAAACAGAACATCTAACAGTTTTAACTCACTGAACAAATAAATTCAAAATTTGAAGAAATTATAACAGTATGTGGTGACTGAAACATTACTATTATCTCAGGCTTGGCATTTATATGAGGAGAAGCATGAACTGCGCATGGTGGATCCAAGTCTATCATCTTATGATAGGGATGAGGCCACTCGAGTAATCGGCATTGCTCTTCTATGCATCCAAACATCGCCAGTATTACGACCACCGATGTCAAGGGTGGTGGCTATGTTGGCCGGAGACATTGAGGTTAACGAGGTTACCTCAAGGCCAAGCTACCTAACAGAATGGCAGTTTAAGGATCTAAGCAGCAATTTTGTTAGTGATGATTTTTCCAGATCAATAAACACAGGACTAACAAATGACCAAGCTAGTGCATCATCAGATCCAAGCATGCACATAAGCACTAATCCTTCAACTGATGCGCTTTTAACTTTCACCTCTATGGAGGAAGGAAGGTGATCTCTTTCCTCTCAGGTAAAACAAAGGGGCATTTACATACATACCATCCAATTCTTATGTATTTACATCTCTAAAAACTAAACTTTAATTTTACATTTATAATACCCATATCTTTCATATCACATAAAAAATACCACCATTTAACTTTTAAAAGTGAAATAAACCTTTTGTGAAATAAACCTTTTCATGCAACCTTTTCATGCACATGGAAGGTGTCATGTATGTAAAACTTGAAGTTTAGGTGTTAGATATTTAAATACATAAGATTTGAGTGGTATATATGTAAAACTTCCAAAATTTCATGGTGCAAATCAATTCATGCTTTCTTAATATATAAAATTAATACTATGCAACCGCAAGATATATAGGTTTTGACAGAATTCAAGAGAAAACTTCTAAGTTTCTTTCTTAACACGGAAAAGTTTGAAGAAATGGTCTATTTACTGTATCTGACATAACTTCTATGCATGTGCATTAAATACATGTAATTCTTGGCTTGTGAAACAATGCAAACATGGTGTTAATGTTCGGAAAAAAAGGAGGTTCAATTCATGGTTCTAGCATCTCATTACATCTTGCTCCCAATCTAATACCAAAAGAAAAATATTTAGCAGGGACTGATCATAAAATACTATTTAGCCCATTAAATACTTAATTATTATTTTTTTGGATATGATTATTAAAATAATGAATATAATTACACCGTTGCAATTAATATAATTATTAAATAATGAATCTAACTATTACCATTTTGAATGTGCCATAGAAGACTTCAGAGTTGTGCAAATATAATGAGATATCGAGCTCAAATCCTCTACACAATGGATAGTTGGGATTCAATTGTCAAATCTTAAGTACATCTCAACACATAAAATATAATCACACATCTCTAAGCAGTGTTTTATCATTCGATTATATATCTATTTATATATTTATAATAAATTTTATCAATACACCATGAAATAAAAAAAGATAAATGCCAACACATAAAAAACTAATAATGTTATGGTCATCATTCTGTAGATTGTCAGCTGACAAAACATATATCTAAAATGATTATACAAACCTACACACTACTATACATAAGCTTAAACATTTTATATATATATATATATAAAAACATATATTTTATAAATAATATGTCCAATGTTATTTACGTATAAAAACACAAGTAATAGAAATAAAGTGTATTGCATTAGATAAAAGTACCATTACGAAAAATAGCTCCTATTATTACATAAAGCAATTTAATATATAGGAATTTGTGCAATAATAATTTAGGAAAAGACTACATATGCTACTTGATATTTCAATTAAAAAAAATAAAAAGTTATATTGGCCTCTATAACTGAGAATAACAGTAAAATTGGCAACCTTAAAAATATCTAATAATATAATGCAAACATAAAGGATACACTCCTAAAAAAAATGATATATTTAACTCTTAATAATAAAGAATTAATTATCTTAAAGTGAGTGCTACCGAACTTCATTTTTATTTGGGATTCAATTAACAATGCCAAGTGAAACTCAACTAGAAGTTCATACATAATATAGATATTCAGTTAATAACAAGCATGCAAAAAAGGCTATTCGAACCAATAGTTAAATGAATTAAGTGTAATAATAACTTATCTAGATCATCTCATAAATAGCCTTAATTTAATATCAACAAGATTTAACCAATCCTTTCATATATAATTTCCAAAAATTCATTTCTAAAAATGTCAATAATTTTAAATCTTAGATAAACTAGTTTTTAGTCTCATCTCAATATGTGCGTGTTTGTATAAGCTGAGAAGAAGAAGACAGAATAAAAAAATGAACCTCAATATTTTTGTTTGCATGATCATGAAAGAAGAAAGAAGAAGGTCAGCTATTGTCTCATGATTGAAGAGGGAAAAACTTGCGCACAAATTTTCAGGTGAAAATAAATGGCTCGAAAGAGGAATGAGGAGGGGGAGACTAATCTTTTCGTTGCTACGGAGAGGCACGCAATGCCATAACAGTCAACACTTATAACGCGAGCAAAGGAGACAATAAGAGAGGGAGAATTGCACAATTTGCACAATAATTTTAGTTTAAAGGGGTTGTGTGACTTGCAAGATGTGAAAGGGCAAGCAATAGTTCAAATGATTCATGCGAAAAAAAGCTTCAGTTCTATGATTTCGTGAAGAAAACATGGAGTCGGACTATTGTGGTTAAGGACAACAGACTAGATTTATTTCTCACATATTGGCTCTTAAAAGTGTGAAAAATTTACATACATACTACAAAATTCTTATGTATTTAGATATCTAATGCCTAAGCTTTAATTTTTACATCTATATCACTTATGCTTGAAAATGTGTATTTCACTTTTTAAAGTTAGTATTGGCGGCATTTTTTATGTGATATGAAAGATTTTGAGTGTTATAAATATAAAAATCAAAATTTAGGTGTTAAATATGTAACAAAATTTAGGTGTTAAATATGGTAAATACATAAACGTTGTGGTATAATTGTAAATACCCTTAAAAGAATTTGACACTCAAATTCATATTTGAGTTTTGAATAGTTGTGATTATTTTAAGATCATCTCCGCTTCAATCTCTATTTTGTCTCTTGTTTTGACCAGCTTATTAAAAATACTTTGAAAAAATATAGATTAACAAAAAGGTCATTAAAATTTACATCCTAAAGAGTGATTAGATACATCTTTATAACTCAAATATTCTTGAATTATTAATGGCTCAAAATGAATTACGTGAAAGTCAACATACAAGTAGTAGTGTCATAATAATAAGACATGCACACCTACAAGTCTTGGGGGAATAGCAAATTGATAAGAAACTCAAATCAGATCCTCAATTACTTTGAAAGAATTGAATAAAATGGGGGCTAAGACTTACCACTTTTGCAAAATCTTATAACTGCTCGTACAGGTGAATTCTTATGAAAGATACAATCTCAAAAATTAAACTTAATCTCTTTATACTTTGGGTCAAACTATCTCATCTGAAGCTTCTGAACTAAAAACAATTATTCTCAAATCAAATAGATTTTCTTAGTACCTAACCAAATGCAGTCCTAAGAGTTCTTCTTACCAAACTGAAACCAAAATAGAAGAGATCTATAGTTCCTGCCATAAAGAACCTCATACGATATAATATCATATTGTTACTAGCTTAAAATTATAATAATAGGAGAACTACACAAGCAAAAAGTAATCATCTCAGATATCTCCAAAGTTAAAATTGCAAGCTCTCTATAAATTTTCTAATGTTTGAATGATATGCCTTGACTAATCTTCTGTTTAAGGACTAAGCACGGTGTTGAAGTCCAACCTCAAATTTGAAGCTTTTAGCACTTTCTTTTACAATTTCAAAATGAGCTTCCTTATTGATTTGACACAAAAATGATTGAAATTCTATATTGTAGAATAATATTATTCATATAAATTTTTACTATTTTTCTATTGAGTAGTTCTGCAAGATTGATAGAAGATGAGCAATCTTCAAACTTTATTATAATCTTACTTCGATCCATGCAAGCCAACTACCGAATGTATCTCTTCACACTTTCATTCTAAAATAGAAAGATGTTACAATATGCCTCCAAGTTTGTGATGTTCATTATTCACTATTTGACAAGTTAAATACTTAGTTAAGAAGCCTGTCACATCATTTTTAAGTCAATTTAGCAAAAAAATTTCTTCAGATCTTGATAGACCTATTGTTCTCTAAATGAGCAAAATATATGGTGTACGATTCTTGAAATATCTCCTATTGAAGTCCTATATGATATGGATTACAAAAGCGATCTTTAAATCTCAAAAAACTTGTTTGATCAATAATGAGTTCAAATTTCAACGTCTTCTAAACTTGCTCTAGCAGCTTTTATCCAATCATCATCTTTTATTTTAGTTGTACAGATGTATTCTACTATGATTGGTTGAATAGGTCTGAGATATACAATGAAATTATCTTTTGGAGAGACTATCTCAAACTAAATTCACTCCATCTCAAATACCAATCGTTGACTTTCGTAATTGTCCCATAATGCAATTCAATCAAGACACCGCATAGACTTGAGTTTGAATTGCCTTGAACCTAACTATAAACAACTAACCATCACTAATTTCGCAAAACAGACTTTGTTGATAGGTTCAAAATATTGAAATCGACTAATAAGGGGGTTCATATTGTTCGCCACTTTGCAGGATGACAGAGGCAAAAATATTCACCTGACATGAGTCGAAATGCCACTCTTTCGGAGAACATGCTTCGTCGAAATGGCTCAAAATTTCATTTGCCCTTACATGCTACGGGAAGAGGTCCGAGGAGTGAACCTTAGCTGCTGAGGAGTAGGAAGCCCAGAGCGAGTACGGAAGACAGAGGAAGCTTCGAAGACCGAGAGAGGAGAGGGTTACAAGTCATTGAATGCTCTTGCCCGCGGTACTCGAACGCTTGAAGCACAATTAGGAAGCGCGGCAGCGAAACAAAAAGTGGAAGCTCGCCATTCGAGAAGGCAGCTGGAGGCGGTGGCAAAGAAAGGAAAGAGAATCGTGCGACTCGCGCAATCCGGGAGGCAACGCACTGCGGAATCGGAGTGAGATAACAAAGGGAATTGTGTAATTTTTATGGTGCATGAATAACTATATGCACTGCCGAATAAAAATTAGTCTCGTGAAATGTGATTTCATGTGAATTTATAATTTAAAAGTAAGTATTTTTTATGCCCGACGGCCCGAATCTCGCCCAAAAAAAAAGAGTTTTTTTTTCAGTTTTGAGTCCCGCCAATAGAAGAAAGTGGCATTTTGTCTGCTTTAGGGGATAATGATTCGGTATATTCTCATTTTTTTTTCCCTCATGTTCGTTAGAGTTGGTTCGATAAAAATAATTTTTGACGAAGAAATGTTGGTGGAATATCAAAATACTCCTGAGAATCATAACAATGAGATGAAATTTCAGAATATTTCCGAGAATAATGAGATTGAGTAGAGTTTAGATGCGGCAGAAGGACATCGACAGGTACGTAGAGGTCTTGTTTGAATGCAGTTCTAAGTTTTAAGGAGTAATTTTATTGCTAATGAAGTTTGCTCTATTTTTAGATGAGTTTTAACGCTAAGTTTCGGTTGGGTGGGATGTGGTGTTATTTAGAAAATATAATAGTGATACAGTGGTTATTATTGTATTTGCTCTCCATTTCCTATTGTTCATTAGAATATTAGTTGGGGTTTGATGTTATTTTGGAAGTATGTGGTATCATAAAGTAAAGTGAATGTCTTGAGGATTTAGTGTTATTTTGGTAGCATCACAGTGTTATTTATGTAGTATTATAATGTAAAGTGAATGTCTCAAGGATTTGGTGTTATTTTGGTAGCGATTTGGTGTTATTTTGGTAGCATCACAGTGTTATTTATGTATTATTATAATGTAAAGTCAATGTCTTGAGGATTAGGTGTTATTTTTGTAGTATCACAGTGTTATTTTGTTGGTATCATAATGTAAAGTGAGTGTCTTGAGGATTTGGTGTTATTTTGATTGTATCACAGTGTTATTTTAGTAGTATCACAATGTAACGTTTCTTTCATGTGGATTTGGTGTTACTTAGGTATTATCACGATGATATACTAGTCGTTTTTGTAGTTGTTTTCCATTTCTGGTTGTTCGGTAGAATAGAAGTTGTGGTTTGATGTTTTGATGTTATTTTGGTAGTATCACATTGTTATTTTGGTAGTATCATAATGCATCGTTATTGTCGTGAAGATTTGGTGTTATTTTTATAGTATCACAATGTTATTCATGTGACAGTATCATAATGTAACGTTACGGACGTGAGATTTGGTGTTATTGTGGTAGTATCACAGTGTTATTAAGGTAATGTTGGATCTGCTGAATCGATTTTATTTTAGGAGGCCAGTAACATAGCTTAACGTCATTTAATAGTATTATTGTGGTATTATTATCTTGTTGTTTATGTATTGTAACATTGTATTTATGATGTTTAAATTTGCAGTCACCCGATACGAAAAAATTGCTTAATGCAGTTGTCCACAACGAGAATGAAGCATATGAACAATATTTGAACTAT